CCCCACCAGCAAAAAAAAAAAAGTAAATAAAATATCTAAGCTATCATAAGTGGTTTTGTAGTCCACATATATGAAGTGTAATGTTGATTTTGTATTTGTAGAATCTCTCCAAGAGACAACTGACGATTTATATAGGATATGTAGTTACATAGTCAATAGGATATTCATTTGCTCTAACACAAACTCCCTCTACTGTCTTAAAAGTATCTCCCATAAGCTCTCCCTCTATACATTCTGACCCGACCATATTCCCTATACCACACATATATCTGTTTAAATACACCCATCTCTCCTTTCCATCTTCTGAACTCCAGTACTTTTCCCCGAAACCAAGTTAGATTCCGGCAAAATTTTATCCAAGAACATTTGGCTGCCTCTCTATGTCAGTGATTATCAAAGTTTTTCCATCTACCGCCCCCTTGAGGTCAAAAAATCATTCTGAGCGCCCCTCCCCCATCCATAAATGAATCGCTCTATTACTATTTTGGCTCATTTTCGACTCCCCTTCCTCTTTTAGTGATTTGTCACGCAAATTTTACAAGTTTATCACCCAAAGTCGCAAATTCATCCCCCCCCCCCCAGCCCACGGAAATTTTTTTTTTAAACATGTGACGTCATTTATTTTGGCTCATTTTCGACTCCCCTTCCTCTTTTAGTGATTTGTCCCGCAAATTTTACAAGTTTATCACCCAAAGTCGCAAATTCTTCCCCCCCCCCCCCAGCCCACGGAAATTTTTTTTTTAAACATGTGACGTCATTTTTGGCTGGCCCCTTAACCCATTCTGCCTATTTTTAGCGTTCTCATAATTTTAGTTTCCCCGATCCTCTGCATAACATATTTACACAATGAAATACGTTGTTATATTTTATCAAAATACAAATGTCATATTTATTAAGCTGCTTAATTTATCAATTTAACGAAACGGTACCTTAGATCTTTTTATCTAAATTACGCCTTTACCAGTCCATTGTTCTTAAGTGACGTTAAATATGAAATTGGTAGATGGATAGCTGTTTTCAATGCCCGATGTTAATTCTAATAGCAGAGACTTGATCCATATGTCAATTTTTCATCTCTGTTTGGACGACATAATTTCTAATAAATACAATGCTATGATTATGATACAAAAAGGAGCTTCTTTAAAAACTGTCTCTTTGCATGATGTCAACCTTAATTGCCCCCAGCAGACTAAACTCTTATTTATAATGTATTTAAACTTTAGCATCTACTCAGTATTATTTAAGATGATAATTATCCTCTCTAAAACTTGCCCAGCTATATCTATAATGAAATGGATTTATCACTTTAATTACCTTTGAACAAATTCTAAATTCGCTAAGACTTATAAATTATGTAGCATATCGAAATGATCGCTAGAGTTCTTAGAGCTCACCTTTCCTATGAATTATTAACTTTCCTATTAATAACAAAGAACTGAAATACCAAGTAGCTAATGCCGAGCGTGGTCTCTTTTTTTTTTTCTAAAAAGTCAAACATTGAAATCATGGAGTTAAATATAATTCCTACAATAACGATGATGTTTAATGAGACGATCACTGAGTTCATTAAAAACCAAATGTTTTCAATGATTGATACAAGAATTCGTTAATAATTTAGCCTTTAAAAACTTTTGTTTTCACTTACAAGCAACAAACCATGGTTGAAGCTTGTCTATTATGATAACGTATATATTATATAGTATGTTACTAAGTGGGACTTCCTCGTCGTTGAAGAACTGCTCAAGAAAAAATAAAAATCCATTGAAAACCTCTCTCGTATCTGTTTCTAGCCGTCTTCCAAATGACGACATTTTATCGAAACTTCCAGGAAAGAGCTCACCCAGTTTATGAATCCAATTCTGTTGACTTCGGGTATGAAGTGGGTCATGAAGGGGTGGGTGGTCAGTCCGAGACGGCGCTTGTTTCGTTATTTTGAGAGGCGGCGTTTTGGACCGACTTCAAATTAATTTCGTGTTGGGGTGCGGCACAAATCTAGGTCCGTCCCGGGTGGCACTAACATTAGCTACGCCCCTGCTGTTATGCTACACAAATAGTGTTCCAATAAATATTCTTAGCCTTCTTTTGCCATCTTCTCAGAATATCCCAAAATGCTAGTAGGATGAGTTCTTCACCATCAACGATGCTGCACAAGCCACTGATGATTTGATGAAAAGCATTAAAAGCATGCCTGA